TATATAATAATTTGTTGATTGAAAACATGCCATACCGATTATAATTTTTTAGGACAAGTCATCGAATCAGGCTATGTCCTTGGCAATATTACGAGTGATACGATTAGTTCGAGTATTTCGAATATTTAAGTTATCTAGGCATTCGAAGGGTTTACAAATTTTAGGACGAACTCTGAAAGCCTCAATGCGGGAATTAGGTTTACTTATATTTTTCTTATTTATAGGTAAGTTCCAGACGAAAAAAGCAAAACAAAACCAAACCAAACCACAAACAAAAACACACACCAAATACATAGAAACACACAAATATCCAAAAGAAAAAAGGCAACTAAACCAGTTACAACCCATACACCTATACAAAAACCCTCAAAAAAACTAAAACAACTATACAAACCTTACTCACCACCACCACCACCACCACTCTTACTACTACTACCGCTATCACCACCGCAACTACTATTGCTACTACTACTACTACATTTACGACTACTATTACTATTACCCCACGCGCACAACCATTCTAACGATCTACACCCAAGCATACGCACTCACGCATATAAACCCTCTAAAACAAAGTCTCAGAATACATGTACACAAGCTCAGCTAACACAGGGAACCCCAAAACAAATCACACACTCTATAAGGTCCAACTAAGCAATGGCACTTTTTCTTTTTCTATGTGCTATAAGAATAAAAAAAAATTAAATATTTCTCAGATTTTCAAGCCATTTGAGTTGTGCTTGGAAATTTCTCATAACTACAATATTTCGAAAATCAGTAAAAAGCTCAAAACTAGACATTAAAGAATTTAATGTTACTCACCAAGCCATCAAATCTAGGTATTAAAAATGTTCAATGAAATTGTATATGTTTGGAAAATAAGAGCTTTCGATTTGGTATCTTTTTTTTATGTTAGAACTGAACGCTATAATTAATGAAAGCAAGAAAAGTTTTTTTGTGTTTTATGTAATCCAGAAAAAATTTCAAAAAATCAACTCTCAAATATAAAATTCGAAATAAAAGTATGACAAGATATTTAATTTTGTATTTTGATCAAAAGAAAACATATTTAACTCGTTTCATAACAAGAACATCGAGACCACTTTATTGAAATCTAAAAATCGTTCGTCTTTTTGGCGAAGGTTTGTTTAAAATTTTCTTCCTAAAATTATTCACTTGTTAAAATTTAATTATTTTGAATTTATGAAAAAATTTA